GCTGGCCTAAAGGGAGATCAAGAAAGCTATCACATTTTAACCTCATTATATCTACACGCTGAAGATCGTCCACCCAGCCTGCAGCAGTACCTGGACAGGGAGCTGCCAGCAGTGCAGGCCGCATGCAGAAGAGGACGTGGGCCAAGGGAGGTCATTTCCGACGTCAGACGGAGCTTGGCTCCAAGCAGAGAGATGTTGACTGTGTCTCGCTGGCTGTGCAAAGGCTCCAACTGTGTGCACCCTAACAAACTGTGGATGGCCTTCAGAAGACTGTGTTCCTGTGGAGCCCGCACATGGACTAAGAAGTGGTTGTGTGACCAGAACAAGAGAATTCCACGCGGTTTAACATCAGGAACAACGGGGTGTGTCAGGATTGCATCCTCTTATCACACTTGTTCACTTTGTGAGCTGAACACAGCGTCAGAGCAGCTGACTTAAGAGTGTGGCATCGGCAGTGGAGGAAGGTTCTTAACCACCTGCGGCATGCAGATGACACGCCCGTGCTCGCTGAAAGCGAGGAGGACTTGAAGCACCTGCTGATGAGGATCAAGGACCGCAGCCTCCGGTGTGGATGGCGACTCAATGCCAAGAAGACCACACTCCTCGCAGCTGGACCACCAGGTCACATCACGATGAACGAAGAAAAGGTTGCAGTTGGAAGGATTCTTGTCTTGCTTGGATCGACAGTCAGTGCTCATGGAAGCAGCTGTCAACACTCATTTCATGTCGGTTGGGAAGTCTTACTAGAGCCACAGCCATCAAAAAGGAAGCAAAGGTATCCACATAGGTGCCGAAGAAATAAAAATCTTTATTTGCAGATGGCACAATCCTATAAATAGAACACCCCAAATATTCAAGTAAACAGTTGCTCAGACTAATGGAAAAACTTGGCAGTGTAGCAGGCTATAAGATGAGCAGACAGAAGTCAAACAGTTGGATTTTTGAATATGAAGGATGATGATACCAGAAAAGATATCAAAAGAACAATACCATTTACAATAACTACACAAAAGATAAATATGTAGGAAAAATATTACCACAGAAACAAAAATAGTTGGGCAATGAATGTACAAATATGCTTTACACAATTGATGTATGTATGGATTGTGATGAGTTGTATGAGCCCCTAATAAAATGAAAGAGAAAAAAAGAAAAAGATATATACATATATATATATATAAAACAACCCTACAAAATACTCCTTTAAGAACCCAAAAGAAACTTTTACAAATGGAACAAGTGACCCTGTTGCTGGGTAGGCAGACTAAGTATTATAAAAGTGTCAATATTACCAAAAATACAAATTCAGTGCAATTCCAAATCCCATCACAATGTTTAAAAAAATAGAAACTAATGATCAACTTCATTATTTCTTAAACATTTTATTAGGGGCTCATACAACTGTTATCGCAATCCATACACACATCAATTGTGTAAAGCGCATTTGTACGTCGTTCTCAAAACATTTTCTCTCCACTTAAACCCCCGACATTAGGTCCTCTTATCACAAAGATGGGCTTTGGGTCTCTGCTCTCCCCACCCTCCTCGTTCTCAACAGTATGTTTCTGTTTGTTTGTTATGTGTCTTCTGATGCCTGTTGCCCGGTCCCGAGGACTGCTCATGATCGCATGGTGGTGAGCTTCCCCCACGTGGGCTGGTTGCTTCCCTGCTGAATGGCCGCTTGTTTAAGTCGGGTCTCCGATGCTTTAGGCCGTGTTCTCAGGAGACTGTCGGGTCCTGTGTACTCGGATTTGCATTTGTAGGCTGACTTCCATAGTGGTTGCTCAAGTCTACAGCCCCCAGCAATGGGACAGCGTTCCTCTCCCTGGTTGCTCAAGTCTACAGCCCCCAGCAATGGGACGGCGGTCCTTTCCCTGGTTGTTCAAGTCTACAGCCCCCAGCAATGGGACGGCGGTCCTCTCCCTCCACATGCTCTCTAGCATTTGTTATTGTCTGCTTTCTCGGCTTTTCCTGAAAGTGTCGGTGTGAGTGATATCTCATTGTTCATTTGTATTTCTTTTTGTGTGTGTGTGTAAATATTGATGTTTTTATTTCTAATGTGTTTTTTCCTTTAAAAAAAA